TTAGAACTATTAGAGACTTTTATGTAAAGATTTTGCTGGCTTGAAAACTATGTTGTGCATTCCTCTCTCTTTCTTTTAAACAAATGCCATTTGCTTTTGTTTCATTATCTAATCAAATGCCATGCATACATGTAAATGTGTAGTATGTATATTTAAACCGTAACGCCAGATGGACCTGTAGACTGCCAGGCATGTTGCTGGGTGATTGTAGAGCCTGTCGAGGATCTCCGGACTCAGTTCCTTTAGATACTCCTGCAAGTTCTTGCACTCTCGAAGCTTCATCTGTTTTCAGACAGACAGACAGACAGACAGGTGAATGAGGAGGCTTGCATTCCACATTATTACTGCAATGCAAGGCTATGGTGAGTGATATATACCGCGCCATACTCTTCATATATTATTATATAATACATTGTCCACTGCCATATGTTACAAACATATTTTTTTGCACACAGGAATCTGTGACTGAGGCGTTAGAGCACATTCAATGGCGATAAATTATAACTTATAACATAGTACACTGACATCACAGGTCAGCAACGACGAATACAGTGGAGACTATATTTAATAATGTATCATTGCGCTTATTGTTGCGTGCTATTAATCATTACAGAGAAAACGTACTAAAGTGTTTAGTGGCGGTGTTTTTCACTTTAAAAATATTTTTAATATATATTCAATGGGCTTACCTTGTTTCACATGCGTCAGGGAGCAAAATAGTGTATTAAACGATGAATCATTTTATTTCTTCACAACCATTCATGTATGCAAGCCATGTTGAATGATCACGTGACCGCTGAAACGGGCAGTCTGATTGGTTAACGTGGCGAGGGCCTTTTCGGTAAACTGTACTTCTTTTTATATAAAAATATGTATTAATATATGGTGGGGTTTTTTTGAAGACATGTTTTATTATGTTTAATTAATGTAAACTATATGGGCCATTCTACAGAATTGGTGCAAACTGCTGTCCCGCAACCAAAAAAAAAAAACATTTAAAAAGCATTTAATTACTCAAATCTTAGATGTTTACTAAGATCCTTCTATTATCTATTGAAACCCACAATAATATTTAAAATATCAGTAAGCTTAAAATATATAAAATCATTATTTATTTGGTAGGCTACTTTCAATTTGGAGGTGGCTGTCCCGAACCCTAACCCCTAAATTTCAACTTATGAAAATCTTTTTTTTTTTTTTTTTTTTTTAAAGTTCAAAACAAAGATTTATTTGATATTTTCTTTGTAAATTATGAAACTTTATGTAAAAACGTGTGCCATATTTTCATGTCACTACTGAAACTGACACTGAAAGTCAAAGTGTTTGTTTTATACAGTCTATGGTTTGCCATGCACCTTTTTCGGATCATAAAATGATTGTTTTGGTACTCTCTGGTTGTGATATTAAAAATAATAGTATGCGAGGCTACTGGAAATTAAATAACAAGTTGCTCAGTAATGAGGGCTTTATTACCCAGGTTCGAGAAGAAGCACAACAGATTTTTGGGAGTAAGCAAATGACACATGTTAAGAAAATATTTAAATTTAAAGTTAGGCAGTCTGCTGTACATTTTAGTAAACAAGTTAAAAAGAATCACTTGAATAAGGAAAAGGCACTTATGACAGAATTAGACTTACTTTTGAAAAAAGATAATCTTACAGAAGATGAAAAAGTCAAATTGGAGACATTAAAAACTCAAACTGATCAGATATATATTAATACTGCAAAGGGGGCATTCATTCGTTCTAGAGCTAAGTGGTTGGAAAAGGGGGAAAAGAACACAAGCTATTTTTTTTCACTTGAAAAGCGAAATTATAAAATCTATTTCTATTCAGTTTCGAGACCTTTGTGATGAAAAACTAAGGAAGCAAGAGATGGTTACAGCTATTTGTTCAAAGAAAAACTAAATCTCCAGGCACAGATGGTCTTTCAGTCGAATTTTATCTCTGCTTTTGGGATATTATTGAAAACCCTTTATTTGAAATGTATAAGGAATGTATTGAATCAAATGAATTATCGACTTCTATGAAACAGGGGTTAATAACCCTACTTCCTAAACCAGATAAAGATCATTTGATTTTGGATAACTGGCGTCCAATAACATTATTAAACGTAGATTATAAATTGTTATCTCATGTTCATGCAGTTCGTTTAAAAAAAGGTCTAGACGAAATCATAAATGAGTGTCAAACTGGATTTATGGCTGGCCGACATATAAGTTGGAACATTAGACTGATTTTGGATTTGTTAGACTATTCAAATTTGGTGGAATCAGAGGCTTTCATTTTGTTCAGATCAGCCAGAAAGAATTCTACATCTTTTTTTTTAATGTTACCATTCCCAAAAATTCTGGGAAGATTTATCTGTATATATTCAACAGAAATCTGGTTATAATTGTGAATTAACATCCAAAGATGTCATCTTATATTTTGAATCAAAAAATGCATCTGTCAATTTTATGATGAATCTAATGATTTTATTTGGTAAATTTCATATTCATAAAAGTAAAAGAAATAGTTCTAAACCCTGTTTGAAGGTCTCTATGACTGATTTTCATTTGTATTTTGAGTCTCTCCAATGTATTGATAACACAAAATGTAGAGATACAATTTTACTCGCTAAAGAGCTGAAGTTACTTGAAAATTGAATGGGTATATGCTGTCTTTTTTTCTTTAAGTATTATTATTGATTTTTTTTTTCTCTCTATGTAATGTAAACCCATTCCTTTAATTGTGTTATCTTTTTGGATGTCTTGTTAAAGTTGTAAATGTTGCATGTTATGTCTTTAATGTCTAATAAAAATTTTAAAAAAAGCAACAAGCTTTTCTTAGAGTAATATTACAGAAGACAGATTAAGTATTTAGGAATAAGTGTTACAAAAGATATAATGGAGAGACGAGAATTAAATTTTTCCCCTAAACGTAAAAAAGCTCAAAACATCTTTAATAACTGGTTTCAAAGAGACTTGACTATTATAGGTAGAGTCCTTCTAACCAAAGTAGAAGGGGTATCTAGATTTGTTTATCTGGCATTATCCCTTTTTGTTCAAGATTCAGTTTGTAAAAAAATTAACGATTTATTTACTAAATTTGTTTGGAGGAATAAACATCATCATTTAAGAAAGATAGTTCTTCAGGGTCCAAGGAATGAGGATGTCTTGTTAAAGTTGTAAATGTTGCATGTTACGTCTTTAATGTCTAATAATTTTTTTTTTTTTTTTTTTTAAATACAGTCTATGGTTTTAGTCCATTGGCTGAGACTGAATTTAACTACACCCCTACATTTATGATCAGGAAATACTCCTGTGTCCCTCTCTCTCATAGCTACATGGTGAGTAGATTGGTCCCATCAGTTTGAGATAAATGTGTTCAAAAGTCTGAAAATCTGTGTGTAATTTTAAGGAATGTCACTAACAAACATCTTCTTTCTGCAATTAAGCACACTTTTTTGGGAGTTATTCCATAACATTTAGTTTTTCTATGTGTACAACTGTTCAGAACTGTAGCATGTGCTGATTAGTATCTTTGAGTTGGGCCCAAAAGTATCTAAAATTGTCACTACCGTATCAATCACGTCATCATTGTTTCAGTAGTGACAAAAGGGAGCACATAATCATTTATTTGGGGGAAATAAACACAATTTTAGTAGTTATGCAAATTTTTAGTATTTTAGTATGCGAGTTAAAGTCCTGTAATGTCATGTGGTTGCTACCGCAACATTACGGTCATTACCGAAAATGTGCAGTCACAACCAAAACATGAGATGTTTTGTCACGAATAAAGTATATTGAATTGTCAAAGATGTTATGATAGTGTTTGGTTCAATGTATATACAAACTAATAAATCCTTAACTTTGAAATCAGTATGATCAACTTTTTGTCTTTTGCAAAAAAAGATTGGATTCAAAAAACAACAAATCTCATAAATTACACTTGAAATGTTAAAATTTTAATTGTTATTGATTTACCTCACAAAACGTTTTAAAGAGGTCATATGATGTTGCTAAAAAGAACATTATTTTGTGTATTTGGTGTAATGAAATGTGTTTATGCGGTTTAAGGTTCAAAAACACATTATTTTCCACATACTGTACATTATTGTTTCTCCTCTATGCCCCGCCTTTCTGAAACGCGTCGATTTTTACAAAGCTCATCGGTCTGAAAAGGCGAGGTGTGCTCTGATTGGCCAGCTATCCAGTGCGATACTTAAAATCTGTGAGTCAGAACAGCCGGCATTGTAGGCTACTCTCCCACGTTCAGAAAACAGTCCTCCGTAAAACGAATATTTAGTTTGAACTGTTCTGGAACAGTGTTGTAAATACAACTTAACCACTGATTTCTAGTCGTGTCCTCTTTTGGAAGGCCAAAAAAAGTAGTTTCGCTTTCACAACGAAACACACAGCGTCTCCACAACATGGCGGCGGCAACAACAATAAAGTTACACCTGCTTTCTTTGCGTGAACATTTGGGCGGTGTTATGCAAATCTTCCCACACAGTGACATAGACATGTGGGGGCGTGTTTGAACGAGGCGTTTTAGGAGTGCTTGGACGAGTCTTAACTTTTATAAAGACTATCTCTTTGGGTTTGAGACTTTAGTCTTTGCAACTTCAGGGATCTTATCTATGCACAATCAGCTTGTAACACTCCAAAGAGAAAGGAAAACTTGAAATCACATCATATGACCCCTTTAATAAAATAACAAATATATTTACAGGGTAGATGTAAGCAAAATCTTAATACGTCAATACAACCCTTCTTATTAAATTATATATTATTGTGTTTCAGTGGTGACAAATTTGGGGAGAGGAAATATATTCCAAAAAATTCTGAAAAAATACAACATGAGAATTAACTGCACAATTACTAGAAATGCGTACCATGGATATTATACAATTTGTATACATAAAAAAATTTGTGGAAAAAGACTTATATAACATCAATTCTAAATTAGCCCTGCAAAAAAAGACTTCTGCACACATTCTTTTTTTCTTTTCTTTTTAATAACATTAAAGACATGTACAGAGCATTTTTAATATTTCACACTATTTCAATTTTGATAACCAATAAATGTAAATGGCAATAGCAGCGGCAATGTTTCTCATGAATCTTCCTTTTCTTGAAACCTGTAACAGAGAAATCAAATGAACAGTTTCTGCCATCAGTACACATGTAGAATAATGGCAATTACGATCACTTAAAACAACGTCTAAACACTAAACAGCTACTGGAAAAAGTATAAATTGTTAAAAAGAGCATAACATGTTAATTACCTGCAGTGTATGCATGTGAAGAACACCGTCTGTCCTTCATCTGCAGATCTCATCTGTCTTGTGTGATAAACCATTCCTTCTTTGTTACAGCGCGAACATCTCCTGTCAATCTGATGGAACGTTTGCGGAAGATGAGAAACAGGTGAAATGTCTGTTGGGTGACACTCAGAGATTAATCTCTGTATGTTTAAATATCTTACCACAGGCCCCTTCAGCTCAGCATCCTCTTCGCGGTCAACAGTGCTGGAGCTCTGATCCAGAGGATTAAACACCACCGATGATTTAATAACTTGACCTGTGAATTCTGAGAGAGAATCCTACAGCTAATTTATAACATAAACTTACTGATGTGCCATAAACCTCTGCTGCTGAGTGTAGTGTCATTTACAACATATTCAATATCTCTCACCTCGAACAGGGATTTTGAAAGAGCACCGCGGGCAGGTAATGGTATTTTCCCTGCCAGGCACTGGAAGAATATTCCCACATTCCGGGCAAAAGTTGAGATCACCACTAAAACATGACATTTCTGAAAAAAAGAACACAGAGATTTACACACTAACTTACAGCCGCTGCGTTCAAAACAAGATGCGTCAGGACGCGTGTATCCACATAAACAGAACTTACTTATTAAAGCTCAAACACAATGGCATTGAACCTGTTTCAATAACAATAACAAGATTTCTTGTCTATAATCTGAGATGTCTCTTCTCAAGGCAGCTCATGTTGGGTCCTTCATCGAAACAGTCGATTTGTCGCGGGTTGATGACATCGTCGCGCCAACCTATCCAGCAGGTGCAGTGAAATTCAACCGCTTCATACAGTATTTCGAGGTAACCGCGATTATTTAATATTATAAAACATCAAAATAAACACGGGAAGTGATAAGACACTTTATATTCCGTCAGAAAACACACGGGGATGTTGTGCTATAGTCACTGTATGGCCCGCCGCATCTCTTGGGCTAAATGGATAAGCTACAGCTAATATATTTGGTATAGTTTGCTAGCTTGAGCTGCCCGCTTAAATACTCGCGTATTAATTAATATAAAACAACAGATTTAAATTAATGGTATTTTTTTTAGCAATTGTAATACTGGAGAATGTGATTTTATTTTTTAATAGCTTGTCTTGATATGTGTGTGTAAACATAATTTCATAAAATTATATTTGATAACGTTTTATTAACACGCACACATATATAAAACATACATAACGTTACATGCAAACACACACATATGGTAGCATGTGTCATCAGTATCTTATGTCTGCTTTTATAGTATAAGATATTGATAATTACATTACATAGTGACTGACAGGAAGAGGTGCTGTCAGGTACTCCAGCAATAATTCAGTTAGTTTGATTACTTACGTATTTCTTTGTTGTCTTTTCCCAATCTCTCTGCAGGATGACGGAGAACGATGTTGAGAATGAGCTGTTGGACTATGAGGAGGATGAGGTTGATGCAGGTGGTGCCGCGGACACAGGACTTGGACACAACGATGGCTTAATATCCATCAGGAAAGAAGGGGTCAAAGGGTCATATGTGTCCATCCACTCCTCAGGATTCAGGGATTTCCTTCTCAAACCAGAACTGCTGAGAGCTATAGTGGACTGTGGCTTTGAACACCCATCCGAGGGTGAGCAATTCTACATGTGCTAGAAGTTTCTTTGTTTTCAGAATATCAGTTTGATATATTCTGTTTGAATATATTTGTGTGTTTTTTTCTCTCTTTCAGTTCAGCATGAATGCATTCCTCAGGCGATCCTGGGGATGGATGTATTATGTCAGGCCAAGTCTGGAATGGGGAAGACGGCTGTCTTTGTGTTGGCCACACTTCAGCAGCTGGAGCCAGTGACAGGGCAGGTAATGGCAATCTTTTTTAAAGGCTTTGAAAACAAAAGAATTAAGACATAAATAAAATGATGCCTCTGAGCGTGCTTTATGTGCCATTCCACAATTTTTGGGGTTGACCAGTGATTGCTTTCACCCAGGTATCCGTGTTGGTGATGTGTCACACCCGAGAGCTGGCCTTCCAGATCAGCAAAGAGTACGAGCGCTTCTCCAAATACATGCCCAGTGTCAAGGTAGGAAGACAAATTTACATTTCTAGAAAAGATTTAGTTCATGTGTTTCAATAGCGGGATATATGAGAACTACGTACTTTTAAAATCTGCTCTGATCTGTACCGTAGAAGAGGCTGTGGCAGGTGTAAAAATGGCCTCCCTTTCCATTCTTGTGTTGGAATTTCAACTGGAATGACAGGAAGAGCAATTTACTGAATTGTAAATGAGATGCAATGATAATTAGTCACATCACAAAGGAATTTCATTAGTCCAAGTTTTGGAACAAAGCATAAATAATAACACTACGTTCAAAATTTTGGGGTCAGTAAGTTTTTTTTTTTTTAAGTATTTAATATTTTTATTCAGCAGGGACACATTAAATTGATCACAACTGACAGTAAAAGACATTTGTAGTGTTATAAAATATTTTTTTTTATTTCAAATAAATTCTGTTCTTTTGAATCTTATAGTCATTAAAGAATCCTGAAAAAAAATGTATGACAGCTTCCACAAAAATATGAAGCAGCACAACTGTTTTCAACATTGATAATAATAGGAAATGTTTCTTGAGCAGCAGATCAGCATATTATACTGATTTCTGAAGGATCGTGTGACACTGAAGACTGGAGTAATGATGCTGAAAATACAGCTTTATATCACAGGAATAAATTACATTTTAAAATATATTCAAATAGAAAACAGTTATTTTAAGTTGTAATAATATTTCACAATATTACTGTTTTTACTGTATCTTTGTTTTCTCATAACTTTCTAAGAATAAATATTGCCATATTTAATATATAAAATAATCTATTTTGTCTATTATATAAAATAATTTTGCTTTTGATGATGGAAAAAAAGTATTCTTCCACGATGGTCTGTGAAATGATATTTTATTAAATATAATGAAAATATATAAATACATTTCAGAAATACATTTTTAAGAGGCATTTTAAAAATCATTAATATTATTATTAATATCATCTAATGTTTCTTAAAATATCCTACATTTATGGGTAATCCATACGGATAAATTAACCTCCGGTTTCATAGACAAGGCTTAAGCCTAGTCCCAGACTAAAATGCATTGTTTTGTCTCAAGATGCACACCAGTAATGTTTTTATCTAAGGCATATTTCTAAAAACTACTTAAATGTCCTAATTGAACTATGGCCTAATCCTAAGCCCTGTCTGTGAAACCGGGCCTAAATGTATTAATAAAACCTACACTTGCAGTTACACTGCTATACATTTACACTTCTTGTTTGTTATATAATTAAAAATCCAGGAGTTGAATTTAAAAGACAGTAATAACCTGTATGTCTAACAAACTGTAACTTTTCAATATTGCTGTGCACAAACTTTTCTCAGGTTGCTTTGCTTGTGCTGTCTCTCTCCCCCAGGTGGCAGTGTTCTTTGGTGGCTTATCTATAAAGAAGGATGAGGAGGTTCTGAAGAAAGAGAGCCCTCATGTGGTGGTGGGAACTCCTGGACGTATTCTAGCTCTGTCTCGCAACAAGAGTCTCAACCTGCGCCACATCAAGCACTTCATCCTGGACGAATGTGACAAGATGCTGGAGCAACTCGGTGAGCAGACTCTATGACTATGACTTTATGAGACTATGGCTGTGTTCAGAATGAAATTACACTGAATTCTGTGACGTACACAATGTATACTGCATACTTATCTTTAAAAGCAGCAGGAGAAACAGTAGGCATTATTCTACTGTTCCATTGTTGTCACATGATCGTTGTTTTATGAAACAAAAATTGTTACTTTGCATTTTAATTGAGTTTTTAATAAAAATGTCTAAACATTGCACATTATTTCTGCACACACTATCTATACTGACACTGTATACTGTAGTTCAGAAACAGTATGTGTAGCATGCTGTTCCAAACATAGCAATGATCATTATTAGATTTTAATAATATGAATGCATTGTTCTTTAACTGTCCCCTGCAGACATGCGGCGTGATGTCCAGGAGATCTTTCGTATGACCCCTCACGAGAAGCAGGTCATGATGTTCAGTGCCACCCTGAGTAAAGAGATCCGTCCCGTCTGCAGAAAGTTCATGCAAGATGTAATTACGCCTCTCCTACTTCTACCATGTCAACAGCTCCTTCCCTTCACAAGACCACCTCATACACACCTGAAAGAGCAGGCTCAGGAGTGGGATCCATTTACAGCCTCCCTGAGACATCGTAACGCTAAATGCCCCTCTCTGCTGTCCGTTTGATAATCACAGACTGTTAACTAATAGAGGCACAGTCCTTAATCCCCGCCTCAGCTGGCAGCACTGCGTCAGCATTTGGCAAACACGGTCTCACGTCCGTTTGGCCAACAGAGAATGCATCGTCCATCAGGCTATAAATTTAAATAGGTCCTTTAACAACCTTTGCTAAAGTCATGAAGAGCCCATCCAATGTATTTTAAACAGGATAAGAGGATGTCTTTAAGGGAAGGATCTAGTGTATCTTCAAATACACTTCAGGGCCGTAAATTCAAAGCATAAACGCATCTTTCAAAATCATTTAGGCATTTAGAGACCAAAATCCTTCACACTTGAATATTATTTCACTCGCAGTATCCATTTATCAAGACAAATTGCTTTAGTTCCTGCTCAGTTGTAATACCAGCCTAGAGACCTGTCCTCAAATAACCTTTAATTAAGAGGAGAAGCACTTGTTGGAGCTTCATGAATTCTGTTGTCAACTGCCAGAGACTCTCAAGGGGCACAAAACTAAAACTGATAAAGTATTGGCCCAACAAAGCAAGCCAGATGCTAAAAACTACATTAGATTCTCTGCAAATTGGCACTCCAGGGCTGCAGTTAATTACTCTTTAACAAAGCAGACAGCAGGAATAAAACGAAACAAACGATTCAGTCATTGGCAGCATGAATCAGTTCAGGTCGACCGGCCAATGACGGAACAGCTCTTCATCAATCCAGCTGATTAGAACGGTTTCTTATCTGCCCCCAAGAAAAAAAGACAAACTGTCGCTAAGTTAAAATCAAGGCAATAAAACTGGCCCAAAGTGGAGGAGAAAGCATGCGCGGGTGTGAAGGACAAGAGAAGAAAGAGAAAGGGAGGATGAAGCTGCGGAAGACTGGAGCGAGAGGGATGAGATGATGAAGAAACTTAGACGAGAGAGAGGAGACATGCGCGGGTGTAGATAGAGATGCTCTTGAAGAACCATTAGGTGGCCATAAGCAACAAAGTCGTGACTCAAAAAGAAACCGTGAATAGTAGAATACAACTTTGAGCCCCTTTTAAAATGCTCAATGAAGTGTGAGGGGTGTGGCTTTACTAAATATTCATGAGCAAATCCCCTTGCACCATAATATACTATAAAATAATGACTGATGACTTTGAATTCAAACACACACAGATTCAAACATACACTCTTTAGTGCTTATTTAGTGAGAGTTACAGTACATAAATGGCATTGAGATGTTGCCTGATGTAATCTTCTGATTTGAGGTCAGCATTAGGTTGAAGACAATATAGTAAAATGAGCTTTAGACCAGCTCAGCAGCAAATAGAGGATTGATTGATTGACAGACAGTAAAGATAGATTTGCCTAA